AGTAAAATGATGCAAATAACGAGGTAGACATTGGGAAGGAAACAAAACAAGTTGTTATGGGATGAAAGCTATTTCAGAATCAATAACGAATAGTGTTTCTTGTAAGAAGAAAAACGGTTATTTATATGTCGAAAGCCTTCGGAAGCAAACACGAACTGTTTCATGTACGAGGTAAACTGAAAAGGATACTCATAAATTGGAAGCATTATGAAACAAAAACAAATAGTGCTTCATGTACAGAGGGGAAACAGTATTTATAGATTGGAAACATTCGGAAGCAAAAACGCAAAATGTTTCATGTACGAGGTGAACGGGTAGCTAGTACTTAAAGGTTGGAAGCAAAAACGAATATTGCTTCATGTAGGATGTAAAACGGGTTCTTGTAGGTTGGAAGCAAAAACAAATAGTGCGTCATAGAAATGATGAATGATGGAGTGAGTGCGGTGTTCAATCCTTTTTTAAAAAAAATAGTTCCTACTCACAGTAAGTTGTTTTCCAAGAATCCGGATTTCGAGCTCTTAGCTCATCATCAGTTTGAAGGATTTTTAAAGTAATTTCTACTTCTTGTAGAAATCCTTCAACCTGATGATGAGCTAAGTGCTCTAAATCCGGATCGTCGGAAAACAACTTACTGAGAGTAGGAACTATCTTTTTTTAATGAATAGTGCTTCATGTAGGATTTAAAACGGGTCCTTATAGGTTGGAAGCAAAAACAAATAGAGCTTCATAGAAATGATGAATGATGGAGTGAGTGCGGTGTTCAATCCTTTTTTAGAAAGTATAGAAGTAGAAACTACTTTAAAAAATCCTTCAATCTGATGATGAGCCAAAGACTCTAAATCCGGATCGTTGGTAAAGAACTTACTGTGAGTAGGATCTATCTTTCTTTAAAAAAAAAGAAAAGAAAAAGAATAGTGCTTCATGTAGAATGTAAAACTGGTCCTTATAGGTTGGAAGCATTGGGAAGCAAAAACAAATATAGCTTCATGTCCGAGGTGAGCAGGTTACTAGTTCTGATAGGTTGAAGCAAAAACGAATATTGTTTCATGTAGGATGTAAAACGGGTCCTTATAGGTTGGAAGCAAAAATCAACAGTGCTTCATGCACAGCGGCAAAACGGTGGTTATACACTGGAAGCATTCGGAAGCAAAAACATATAGTGTTTCATGTCTCAGGTGAACAAGTTACTAGTACTTATAGGTTGGAAGCAAAAACGAAGTGTTACATGTATGGAGGCAAAACGGGTAATGATAGGTTGGAATTATTTCCAGCAAAAACGACTAGTGTTTTATGAGCGAGGTAAACATTAACGGGAAATTATATGTTGGAAGAATTCGGAAGCAAAAACGAATAGTGCTTCACGTACAAGGTAAACGGGTAACCGGTTCTTACAGGTTGGAAGCATTCGGAAGCAAAAACGACTAGTGCTTCATGTACAAGGTAAACGGGTAACCGATACTTACAGGTTGGAAGCATTCGGAAGTAAAAACGCAGTGTTACTTATACGGAGGTAAAACGGGTACTTATACGTTGGAAGCATTCCGAAGCAAAAACGAATAGTGCTTCATGTACAAGGTAAACGGGTAACCGGTACATACAGGTTGGAAGCATTTGGAAGTAAAAACGCAGTGTTACATATACCGAGGTAAAACGGGTACTTATACGTTGGAAGCATTCGGGGGAAAAAACCGAATAGTTTCATGTATGAGGCAAAACGGTTACTTATAGGTTGGAAGCATTCGAAAACAACATGAACCGTGTTTCATGTACGGAGGAAAAACTGGTTCTAAAAACGGCGAGAACGAAAATACAGAGTGAGGCTGAGAAGGGCGCAAATACGATTTTAAGGCACAACGGTCATCAAAAAAGACTTCGCGCGTAAACGGTGCGAACAGCCTCAATTGAATTACATTGTCTATGGCGGGACTTGAACCCAGAATGCGAACACACTAACTACTCGACCACTGTGGTGTCCTAAAAACATAAAAGGTAGTGTTCCAAAATCTTTCTAATCTCATTTAATTAGTTTCACCAAATACGTAAATTTTTAAATTTCCTAATTAAATCTTCATTCGAATGTACTTTAATTTATCTCTCATTATTCTATTTGAACAAGCCAAGAATACTTTCTACCTTTGAAGTATTTGATGATGGGGAATGTGGCCAAATAGTTCTTTTTTGTTTTTGTTTGACATTCCTCGATTTCACGATCAATATATTCATGATCAAAAATAAAAAAGAGCCATTGAGTATATTTATTTATAACCAATATATACAACGTTTTGGTTTTATTAATTTGATACGGATAATCTCTTCACTCATTTATCTAGAAATGTTTTTCTCCTTTTTTAAATGTTTGAAGGCAATTACATGCGTTGTTGCGTGGCCAACGAGGATTGGCGGGTAATGATGAGGATGACAATTCGCGGATTAAGGGGTTTGAGTGAATCGGGTAGGGGATAGGGAAAGGGATGAAAGCGGCGGCCACAGTGCCTTCCGCACCTCGACCTGAGTAGTTCTATTGTGCTCCTCTGGTTTTTACAACTGTGTTGATCAACCTCCAAAGCCCTGCCAGCGGGTCCTTAAAGTAGAATCTTCCTTGCGGCTTTACCTCTCCTATTTGCAAAAATCTGGACCTGCTTAGACTTTCACAAAAGCATAAAATGTGTTCTGCGGTCTCTTCTTTTTCCTGGCAGTATCTGAACATTGTTTCTTCTGTCCGTACTCCTATCCGGTACATGTTCTTCCTTAGGCGGCAGTGCCGGCCACAAGGCTTCTGCACTCAACCTGTGTAGATATATTGTACTCCCCGGTTTTTATAACTCACTAAACAGCATCAGTTTGCAAATCAACTTCCATACCCGTGCCAGCGGTTCCTTAGTGTAGAAGCTTGTGATTTTTCCAGTCCTAGTTGCAAGAACCTGCACCCACATAGACCTTCACAGAAACATAAAATCTGTTCCGCGGTATCTTCCTTTTCCTGGCTGTATCTCCAGAGTGTTTCTTCTGTCTGTACTCCGATCCGGTGCTGTGCTTCCTCAAGTGGCGGTGCCCTGTCAGAAGTCCAACTAGAATACTGGTCCAGTTGCGGTTGCCTTCCAGTTATTCCTTTGTAAGTTTTGTGGATGGTCGTTCCATCAACCTCTTCGTGTGCCTCATGGCGCCCTCTTTAGCAAACATGTCAACTTTTCAATACCTTTATGACCCGACTGCCCAGAGACCCATGCCGGGTCAGGTCATTAGTGTTGCTGACTTCCGCCAGTTTGTTAGTGCTATTGTTTGTTAATGCAAGTTTGGATTGCTTGTGAAGTCTTTTACCAATGTAGATGCAGATGTAGATGTAATAGTCGGGGTGTAATATACTGCGCCCTTTAAGAGCTATTGTATACCCCGTTCTCTGCCTAAATCGGTGAGTCATATTTCATCAAGAAACTTGAATTATAGACCCGGTTTCAATGGTTGAATCTCTTCTATGGTCAAATTGTACATCCCAAAGCACTTCCTCCTTCGGTCATGTGTAGCACCGCAGATTGCTAGTAAATGTGTTGGTGTCTCCTTTGCCTGTTTGCAGAATCTGCATGTGCCTTCTTGGATTATTCCAATATTCTTTGAGTGTTCTCTTAGCTTGCAGTGTCCTGTTAAGAATCCTTTTAGGATTCGCAGTTTATTCCTGCTTCCTTTGACACATTCTGTAATTTTTTTCTTCCGAAATTTGTAGGAGATTCTTACCTTGCAAGGGTGTCCGTTCTCTCTTTGCCTTCTACTCCTGTGTCCTGGTGCCCCAGCAGAGGCTGACCTTGTTCTGCCACCATCTTTGCACTAATGATATTTCAGCTTAGTGCTTTGATGCCTGATTGCCTATCTGACATGTTCTTACAAAGGATGAATGATGGAGTGAGTGCGGTGTTCGATCCTTTTTAAAAAGATAGTTCCTACTCACAGTTGTTTTACAACGATCCGGATTTCCAGCTCTTAGCTCATCATCAGGTTGAAGGATTTCTACAACCACGTTTCTCGACATGAATTGTAAAAGTCAATCCACTGATACCCCCGCCAACCGGGACGTGGTTGTAGAAATCCTTCAATCTGATGATGAGCTAAAGGCTCGAAATCCGGATCGATGCAAAACATCTTAATGTAGGAACTATCTTTTTAAAAAGTATATTCTTGGTTTTGTACCTTTATTCAGGTTGAATTGGGCTTTTACCAATACAGCAGTGGTCTGAATAATTTTTTTTGTTACGAATTAAAACAATATATTTAGATTTTTATTTTCATTAAACATGATTCTCCATTGGCAGAGTTAAGTTTCGAGTGTGTGTAAGTGATTTTGTAAAATACATGAAGTTGTAATCGGATGTATATCGGAGGTAAGTATTGATGTGTCATCGGCAATGGTAAAAATGTTAGGGTGAGTGAATAGATCAGCCGTGTAAATTGTGAGGAAAAGGAGTCACAATAAATATACAAAAATCGTCAATCGAGGATCTTTGCAAGACTACTAAATGCTTAAAATTATGAATGCTCCGTTGTAATAGATTAACACTGGTTATTTCATTAAAAAAATTTATATACCCTACCCTGAACTTTTTGTCTCGTTTATTAATTTTATTGGTCATTGTCTTAATAGAATTAGCTTCTTTTTAAAATGTAAAATTATACAATATACCTGTTATTATCAAAAACGATACAAAAATTATTACTTAGTTTACTTTATTTCTAGAATTATGGGACATTGTATTTACTGTACTGTTACGAACTACGTCGAAACGATCACGAATGAAAAATTTAAAATATTGCCTCTTAGTGTGTCATCTCGACGAGACAGCCGGCAAATTTGTATGCAGGTGTAGGTCGATCCGCTCGTGGGTCCGTCCATCTTCGCTCTTTTCATTGTCCACTCTTGTCAAAATTTGAAACGATGGTCTGCCGAGTGGAGGGGCGCGATTGTGGCGCCTCGCCCCCGCCTCGCCACGCCGCCCCAGTCGCTCTCCGGCCGCCGATACAAACGACGACACTCCGCGCTCTGACAGTACGCTCGTCAATTTGAAGAAATTTTCTTAAAAACGAAAACAATTAAAATAACAAAAAATAAATATTCGCCGCAGTCTGTGTCCTGTGCCGGTGTTACAACACGCACCACTGCTTTCTATTCTTCTAAAAAAAGAAGAATATTCTTAAAAAAGAAGAAGATTCATAACTGTGTGCTGTTGATTGTAAGTTTGTAACAAGTTTTAATATTATGGGTGGCATTTAAAATGAAGAACGCAAGGAGATCGCTTATAAGATCAATGGGCTGTATAAAGGTAACTGTAAAGAATAATTATTAAAAGAAACAAATTATGAAGGAAAACATACACAAAATACCTAAACTGCTACAGCTAATACAGTTTGTAAAACCGAAAACTATCTTAAGATTATTGTTAGGACTTTTTTTAATACCTATCAAAACAAACAAAGAACTATATTTTACAACAAACTCAGATTGAGAAAATGCGCCAATTGAGTTGTACTATTCTTTTTTTAAAGGAAACCAAAAACCAATCATAATCACGAAGCTTACTTCTTTTATTTTTGATTACTGTAATATACAATTAATAACTAAATAATATAGAATTTAGTAATATGAGAAGAATTTATTCTGCCACCAAAAAGTAAGATAATTGAATAAATGTGCGTAAATTAAAACCACGAAAAATCCCTTTCTATAATAAATCGTTTTAAAATGTCTTTTTTTTGTACTATTGCACATTTTATGACACAATTTTAAAACTCACTCGGATTACAGACATTATTTATAAATATTTGTTATTTCATCTCCCCCTCTTTTTGGAAATTATACCATTTGTTACAAGATTAATAATTCCAACCTATATTCGATTTCCTGGAAATTTATCTATATTTTCTTAAATTAAATACTAATGTTTTTCTACGTTATTATTAAACAAAAATCATCGCATGTTTTTTAGTAGATTCTAGAAAAATCTTAAACCCATAATTGTAAGTTGTATGTTTAAATTATCTAAAAAGTGTAATTTATGAAACAAGAGATTTTAGACTTAAACAATATTGATTTAAACCAAGATTATTCAAACATTAGACAATACAACTAATTAATAGCACAAAAAAGTCAGAAAAATTAAAAAAAAATGGGTGTCTTCTTTTTGATATCTGTCAATATTAAAACCTTATTTCAAATTTAGAAAATTATTCACAGAATAAATAACTTAAAAAGTTTGAAAATTTTAGAGACATTTACAACTGAAATTTAAAGAAAATTGCAGTTATGGGAAATATTGTGTATTCGGTTTTCCCTAATGAGTGAGCTTTTTCCGCGTCAGCTTGTTAGCGTTGAATCCTTGATCACACCAGGATGCTGCTGTATCTGTGAATGTCGGTTTTAGTATTTTCAGTTTAGAGGTGAAATAATGGGTTCTCCGTCAGACTCAGTCATTACTGTGTTTTTTCAGATTTTCGATCAAGTAAAGGCTAAAATATCTGGTATTTCCGTTTTTATTCTATCCAATAATGGCAAATGATGTGGGAATATAGTTCTGTTTTCACTAAACGATTTTATGACAAATTAAGTATTCGTTTTGTCTTAAGTTTCGTCGAATTTACTTTTATGCTAAACTTTTATTAAATTTAAATATGTTTTATCGAAGGATCACTAGTTGATTTGTCAAATAAGTAGGTAGTTTGTTAGTTTTTTTTTAACATCGTCCATTCTAAAATTTACAGGAAAACTACCAATGCACATCAATTTATCCATTTATAAAAAATATCATCACAGATTCGTAATATTGTTTTTTTTTTCTAAAATAGGCTGTTTTTATGATTTTTTAACTTACGATAATGAAACTATACAATTTCCTTATAAATTAATAGTTTATTTTATCTAAATAGTATGTTTATAATAATGGATTTTATATTTATATTTTTAAAAAACCGTTCTGCAAGGTTTTAACGTCCGCCTGACCGAACTCTCGGGTCACGAGCGCCCAGAAATTCGGGTGGAGCTCGGTGCGTCCTGAACCAGTCAATTTGACCAATTTGATACAGCTTGCCGTACAATTGATTCCAGATTCGGGTTTTCCACCCTCGCCTGACCATTTTCCTATTTCTGTCAATTTTAAAATATTTACTGCACCCCTCCTACAAATTAGATATGTAGAAATTAAATTAGAGATTGGACTTTTGTTGTTATGCAATTATTACTATTAAAGTTATTAATTTAAATTAAGCGAAAAATAATCATGTTTTCACGTTTTTTGATCAGTTTCATCATAGTGGAGCTAGGAAAGAACATGAACTGAAACCGTATTATGCTGTCTGACGTTCGGTTTGCGATAAACCTAAAAAAGAGATAAGAAAACACATATTCCGGACGTAATTAATAAGTTAATCAGAAATTTGTTTAAAACGGAAAATCCTGTCACCGGAAGGCATCGCCCGTTTGTCCGATTCGGCTTCCCATCCTCCCGTCAAAATACAACTTGCAAAATTAGCTTACGCCCTCTTACCGAAGGGCTAATCCGTCAGTTAGAATAGGTATGCGGGTTCGTTAAATCGAGCATTAAAATCCAGGCAGCCCGGCTTTCATCATCAAAGAATGCTTTGATCAGCTTATTCGCGTTTTCCCCCCACGATTTTGAGCTCGAGATGAAGTCTTACGGCAAAACCGTCTCCACCCGGCATTATCTCTCTCGACTCTTTTACACATCCGACTTTCTCAAAGGAAGTATTTTTACCAAGAGGAAAAAGGAAAAAGACTATTTTGGTATTAAGAGCACTTTGAGCCGCTAATGAGTACAATTAGGCGTTTTCCAGTATCGTTTATACCAAAAGTAATGATATACTATGTTATGATGATTAATTATCTACAGAACTGAATATATACACAAATATATACACTTTTTCTCATTTGTAGATATTTACAATCGTACAATTCTAACACCCGGTAGAAAATAAAAACTGTACAATTTCTGGTTTTATTTTATTTTAAATCCATTAGATTTCGTGGTCCGATTGACGAAATAACTTCTTTCAATTAATTAATCTTTACGTAAAGTATTGGTTGAAAAGAAAAAGTCAGCGTCACGAGGGGGATTCGAACCCACGACCTTCGGCTACATAGGCCGCGGTTCTACCACTTGAGTTATCGCGACTTACCGCTCCCGACACTTACTTTTTCATTTCAACTAGTACCTTACATCAAGATTTATTTTAAATAATCAATAAATTTTACACTTTTCCTTTCTCTATGCATTTATTTCTTTTTATTTAACGGTTTGATGAGATTTTGCCTGTGAACAGTAATCAAGCCTTTTTTCATGTAGTCACGTTTGCCATATGAAATGTATGTCTAGAAAATATAATTTTAGGGTCGTACGACGAAATGGTGTTCATATACACCTTTTCTTTCTTTATATTTTCCATGTCACTTCTTATGCACAAGCATTTTTTTAAAGTTGTGTAAGCATTAACATTAACAACATAAATTTTCAATGTACATACCCTTATTACATAATGAAATAAATTTCAAAAAGTAAAGATTATTTTAGTTCATGAGTTGATGTATTATCCATATTTAAAATATTCTAGAACAAGCACTTTTATCAAATGTCATATTTTTTTCAAAATTTAAGTAAGTTTTTATTGTAAATAAAGGCAGAAATGCAATCAAACGTTCTCATAGGTAAAATTATAATAAATACAGGGTGTCCAAGTTGACGTGATACAACCGGTTTTCTCTTTACATTTTATTATTTCCTAAAAAGTTGTTGGTTGAGATAAAAGTAAGGCTAAATATGCCGCTTCCCATCTCAAAAAATTGCAAAAAAGAGGGAAAATTCGAAAGGTTGTGTTGATATGGGAAGTTGGTGTCCGAGTGGATGGAAGTCACGGTAGCTCAAGTAGTAGAGCAGGGGCGTATTAAGCCGAAGGTCGTGGGTTCGAATCCCGCTCATGACAGTGACTTTTTTATCTTAATCAACACCTTACATAAAGTTTAATTAATTGAAAAATGTTATTTGGTCATCGGACCACGAAATGTAATGAATAAAATGCAAACTTATATTTTATCTACGAATGTATATTTATTTTTCATATTAAAAAATTTATCACCTCTTTACAAATAGACCGATTTTCATGAAACAATACGTTGGAGTTACTTCGTTGAAGAACTCCAGTAGTTTTTCTCTTAATTAAAATTGAAATATTTCTGGTAGTAACATCAATGTCTTTCAATCAAAGAATAGGGCCCTAGAATTAATTATAGTGTTCATGAAGACCTTTGCCAATAAAAATAAAAAGATTGGTATTCTCATTTAAAATTTCGAAGTTGTGTCGCTATAATACATAGCGACTATTCTATTACAATGTAGACTCTTTTATAGTTAATCAACACAGAGGATACGCACTGAAGAGGAAAGAAAAGAGGCCGACGAGGTTTTTTTAAAGTAAATACTTGCAATCGTTATAATTTTTATATTTTGTTAAATATTAGATATTTTTAAAGAAAAATAATATATAGTTAAATAAAAATTAAACTGTGTAAACAAATTTACTAAAAATGCTACTTTAGAAATGAAGAAAATATTCAATTCAATGCGGAGTATGTCCTTCTCTTGAGTTGATCACCGCTTGCATTCGACGTGGTAACAATTTCATGAGGTCTAGAATGTAGGAGTTTTTTTCGTTTTATTTTAAAATTTACAACTGTAGAATTAACTCCAACAAGCAAATATCATTTTGAAAAAAAATAATTGACTAGTATTGGCATGAGCGAAGAGGTCACTCAGTAATGATACTTCGATGCAAAAGGGCAAGGCTTTGGAATATTTTCATACTCATCCAACAAGGCCGTTCTTAATTCCTGTAAATACTCTGGAGTCACTGGGTGACTTTTTATCCTCTTTGACAACTTTTTCCATAGGTGCTCGATAGGGTTCAAGTCCGGACTAGGTGGTGGACACTCCAAGCATTGCATTGAAGCGTTCCAAGTAGTCACGAAGAATCCTAGCTGTGGAGCTTTGCATTGTCATTGATGAAAGAAAAACCTTAGCCAATTTTTGGCATCTAAGGAACAACTTCTTATAACACGTCTTCAATGTATCGCGCTTTTGTCGGAGAACCTTGATAAAGATTGTTTTTATCTGTGGAATATTTTCTTACTCCTCCAACAGCGCCATTCTTAATTCCTGCAAATTCTCTGGAGTGGGGGCGACTTTTACCCCCTTTGATAACTCGTCCCAAAGGTGTTCGATGGGATTTAAGTCGGGACTGCAAGATGCCGCTCCAAACA